TTTTTTTTTTTTTTTTTTTTTTTTTTTTTTTTTTTTGGTTTGAGATGGGTTAAAATTTTAAAAATGGGTTGGGTTGAGTTGTTTCGGTTCAACTAGGTATGTGTATATCGGTATTGACTAACCGTAGAGTTCTAATTCTTCGAAGCATAGTTTGTGAAGGAAAGAAATAAAAGAAAATAGTAAAACTTCATTGACAGTTGATCATTTGTTGAAGGAGGAAGGCAAGGTTGTCGACTCAACTTTTTCTACGTCTACTCAATCCTTGGTACAATCGTCACTATCTTCAGTATGATACCATGTTGTGGAAAGTATTCAAGTTGTCAATTTAATTCTTTTTACAAATCTTTCAAACTTGACTTTCTCTTTTGTCGTGGATTGAGTATCAAGGTTTAAGCAATGTTCTTTTGAGGTTGCAATAGCAACTCTCATATTTTATATATGCAATAATCTAAGGGGCGATATCTTCTTTAATCTTTCTTAGATTTGACTTTTACAAATTATAGATCTTTAATCTTTCTTAAGGAATGAGAAAAATCTTTTACAAAGCATCATGACCTTGGAAATTTCTCATTTTACCATTTAGCTTAATCATTTAATAAATCATATACATTCCATAAATAAATAAATTAATTAATTATAATAATTTATTTAAATATCTATTTAATTTCTTTTGACAATAAATGTCAAATACACACATTGCCCTAAAGACTTTGCTTGATGGAACCAAAAAAAAAAAAAAAAAAAAAAATCTTAAAACTACCTTTCTTGATATATTTTTTTTATAAGTTATATAACAATTTTTTTATTTAACTATTTACTTCTTTTTAGAACAATCATTTTACTTATTGACTTACTAAAATAATTGTCTGAATTGATTAAGTATCAACTTTGCCAGATGTTTGACTTTATATATATACCAACCCTCATGACAAATATAACTTTAAATACTAAATCATCCCTTAACTCATGATAATTCATACCAAATTATCAAGACAAAAGAATAAATCATCCACCTTCTGGTTGTCATTGCTCGATCACTTCCTTTTCCACCAAGTGATTGCTTAGGGACCTTAGCCTACAATCTGGGCGGTTTCCCTCTTAACTTTGGATCTCAGCACCACAAAAGTCTATCTGTGCAAATGATCTAAGCCTGTATTTAGAGTTTCTTTGGAGTTGGTAAGGTGAAATGGGGCCACCCTAGCCCATTGAATGCTCTACCTCAAGCCTCGACGTCATATGCTCTACTGAAATAGATTTTGCAGAAAACCAACTATATCCGATTTTGGTTGATTTAAGAGAAATGTTTCGATTAATTTTGAGTGATACAAATATATATTACATTCACTCAATTATTTTCTAAACTAAAGCATAAAAACAAAGAGATCTCAATGCACTTCAATCCAATACATTAAACAAATTTAAAAATATAGATATTAAAGATTTTCAAAAGTTTTATCATTTCAAAATGAATGTTGAAGGCCAACCGAGCATACTTAAGTGAATAAGACATTAATTACCATCTTAAGGGTCGATATTTCAATCTCCCACTACGAAACAATACGATGAATGGAACTCCACCTGCTCCCCATTTCAATTGATTTCAAACTCAGGATGAGCATCCAGGTTAGGAGGCAGATTCAAAGATTTCTCCTCCTTTTGTGTTTCATTAACCAAACTGAATCAGTATGGGGATGGTACCAATATTGGGCTATAGCCTAATAAATGCAGCTGCCACCATATCATATTATATGAGAAAAATGAATATTCATATGATACACATAATGGATATATGGCCATACCCTTAACAATTTGCTTCCCCATCGGTGGGATATAACAACAGCCCCTCCAATATTTGAATGTTGAATAACCTGTGCAAACTCATGAGATTAGATGAATATGTTTTGTTGTTTAATACACAAACATGTTAATTTGATTAAAAGCTTAAATTCTATTATACCCTACAAACTTTCATATTTATAGTATGGTAAATGAATGAATAAGTGGGAAAATGATACCTGAAGAAGTATTTAGCTATAGGATTCTCCTATCTCTGAGATACGAATACATGAGAAAGAATGCCACAACAGCGCCAAAAATTATCCCAGCTGTTGTTAACCAGAAGGCAAACTGCATGCATCATGTCAAGTGCATCAAATTTACAACACATACGAAATAGAGACCATTGACGATGTTGCATGAATTTGAACATTGTTTATAAATTGGGTTTTAGAGAACGTACCACGTGTTCTTCAAGGTATGATCGTAAGTTCATGCCGAATATTCCTGCAAAATGGACGGGAAAAACAATGACCAAAGGTAACTTGTTCTCTCCCAGAAAAGAAAAAAAAAAAAAATCACGTGGAGTGCCTTTATGAGAGATTATTTGTGTAATAGCTCCCTTCAGTCTCATATCACTTATAGAATAAATTCCTATAATTATGAAATCTATATGTGACGAGGAATAAGTAATTTTTTTTAAAAAATTGCATTGACTAATTATGCCTACTATGATCAATTCGGGTGAAAAGATAGAAGAAGGGGCGTGGGGTAATAATTTTATATTGATCCGAACCAATCCATATGCTCCCGTATTTAATAAGATTCCAGCTAGAAGGGGAAGAAATTCTTTTGTTGAAGTTATCCATGCAACATGTTTCTTTTCTCTTTTCTTTATTTACAGCTTATTACAGAAGCAGCTCGACTGCATTTTCATACTCAAAATTTACAAGTGACTCAAGCCCAGCCTCAATTAGAAAAAGAAAATCTTGCTTGAATCGGGATCGAAGATACTTGGGTTCTATTAAAGGAATAAACTGCAGCGAACAACGTTTGATTCTTTTGCTATATTCCTCTTACCCTTTTTGCTAGATTAGACTAGGTTTTAGGAGGCAATCCTAGGAAGACCAACTTTTTTATCATTGCTTGTACGAAAGGCCGTCTCATTTAGTTCAGATGGAGGTCTTTGGAAATCCGCCATTTAGCAGGCTGGCTTTCTTTTTGCAACTCTTAGAAGCCTTTCTTTTTGCAACTCTTAGAAGCCTTTCCATACAGAGAAACAATAGGACTTTTTTAGAAGCCTTTCCATAGAGAGAAACAATAGGATTTTTAAAGATTTTGAGAGATTGAGAAGAGGTTTCATTCCTGTATATCACATTTTTATTTGGTCATCAATTTTTATTATTTTCAAGGATTTTTGTAATGGTCTACTTTTTCCAGCCGTGCAACGTCGTGATCTTAGCATGCTCATGACAAGCCTTAAGGGGTACTCAAGCCCCATTCACATTTTTCGCCTGGTTTCGTCGGACCTTAGGCGAGATTTATCTTCGTCAACAAAACATCACTTGTGCAGAATCCAAGCTTGTTCGGCCATACATGCCACCTACGCGTGCATGTTCAATCGTCTTTGACATAGCAACATTGCATCTCATCGTCATCTTAGTTCCCAATAGCACAACCCATGCACCGTGATGTCATCCCAGTTCTCGGGACACCTCACCATCTTGGCTCGCTCGGGCACATCCACTGGGAACTGACCCATGTGTGGATCATCTCTTTGGGACATCCGGAACATCCATCTATTTAGGTTCTCTCGAGCATTGGGCTCTACCGTGTCCATGCTAAACCATTTATGGGCATACATTCCAGATAGCAGGTGTCTAATCCAACCTCCGACACATGAGTTGAGGCGCAATACCGACACTCGTGCATAGTCCGTCAAGTATTCGATTGACACCAATTGTGGTGAGCTTTCATCTTCCATATCAACGGACTTAATTCTCGAGCCGCATGTTGAAACTCATATCGAAACCCCAACTTCTAAGGTTATGGCCTGGGGCCCTACCTAGCTCTCTTCGAGCTTGTCTTCGACACTTTTGTCGCCTCGTTCTCTCTCAAACTTTGCATATGTCTCAACTTAGCTTCAATGCACACTCTTGGTGTTTTGAATAATGCACCGTCCTCGATTGCATCATGACACTTCTCAATCTTGACCCTCACGTGGCCAGATGAGCACCAATTGAGGGTCACAACTGACTTTCTCTCAATCTCAATGAAGATGGGACATATGGGTGCTTTTTTTTTTAGTTTTTCTGTTTAGTTTTGTTCCTTTACTCTTATGCTATTGCCAAAATTGAAGCTTTTTTTCAGTATAGTTAGTTTGGTTGCCTCTTGTTGTTAGGCTATCTGCCATGTGTATTTTTCCATTTTTGCAGAAGGGACTTTTTTGTTTCTCTTTTACATCTTAGTTTTAAAAGTTCTGGTAGATTACTTGAGTATTTTGTAGGTAAATGCAACTGTTACCCTATTTTCTTCCGGCTGAAATTGTAATTTCCTTCAGGCCTTATCTGGCTTATATCAGTTAAGTTGCTTAGGTTAGGTTTGATCTTTGCTTTCATACACTGTTTTTATTCTGAGCATATAAAGTTCCCTTAATGGTAACTGAGAATATGATTTAGATCACTTCAGGTCAATACTCCTAATTCGAATATGCACGATATCTCTTAAAGGGCATACCTGCAACCAGAGCGCCAACAGCCACACAAAATGTCCCAACTTGGAGAAGCAATTCTACTCTGCTAACCTCTAGTCGCCGCGAGCTAATTAGAAGTAGAAAAAACAAATAATTACGAGGCTGAAACATACTTGACAAACTTTGAGAGGGGAAAAACAGAAAAATGAAGAATTATTCCTTAAAGGTATCTTCTGCTCCTACTTGGTACAGGAAGTG